CCCCATCTCCAACCAGCTCCGCATCCCCCCTGCCATGCCCCAAGCCAGCCAGCCCCACACCATGTCAGGTTATTCATTTATTTGCATTAAATATGACATCTAAATAATAAAATCAATAAATGTTCAAGCTGAATATGTATTAATGCTAATTAACAATGCCATATTATGCAGTATTCATTTTTAAAAGTTTATACTAAGCGATGCTCTGGGGGGAGGGGCGCAACATGGAAGTTTCGCCTAGGGCACCGGCCCTGCAAGAGCCTGGTTAGCAGTGCTCTGGTGCCAAGAACCAGCGGCCTTTGGAGACCCTCCCAGCCAGCCCAGGCCTTGCTGGGCATCGCCCGTCCTGCTGCCAGAGGGCAGCTGTGCCAGGAGGGCAGAGAGCGGCTGACACAGGGGGGGAAGGCCCGGAGTCGCAGCCCGAAACACCGAAGGCACGGAAGAGCGCTCCGTCGGGCAGAGAAGATGCGTGCGCGAGTAGCTCCCACCTCGGGGGCTCCCCAACGCCGGACCCCGCCCACGGCCAGCGCACGGCCCCGCCTCCAGCGCCCCACTCCCGACCAGCGCTCCGCCCCCTTGACCTTCAGCCCCGTCTCTATCTCTGCCCCCAGCCAGCGCTCCGCCCCCGCCCCCCCGGGTGGTCTCTGGGCTCCGCAGGGCGACCGCGTTCCGTTCATCGGCTCGCTGCGGAGCCAGGTCCGGCACGATGCCCCCGAACGGGGACAGCGCACGATCTCGTTGTTGCCGGGTAACGGGGGCGCGGCTGGACGGCAGCTGCAGGGGGACACGCCTGCCCCTGCCCGCGCAGCGCTCTCGGGGCGGGGCCGGACCCTGGCCAGTGGAGGCCCCGCCTCCCAGTCCGGAAGTGCCGCGTCAGGACCCCCAGCGTCCGGACTAGCGTTAGCGACATGGAGTCACCGGTGAGGGGCTGGGTCCTCCGCCTTCCCACAGTGCCCCGCGGGAGGGGCCTTGGTTGGCAGGCCAGGGGAGGAGGACGCAGGGACTGGGGGCGAAAGCTCCACCCCACCCCCCGTCGTGTCCTCCGTGTGACCCTCAGGTCCATGACCTCTTCCTGCGCACACAGCCCCTCCTGGGCTGCGTTCCTCGTCCCTGCACCTCCGGCGTGCCGAGCTCTGACCCTTGCGCCCAGCGCTCCCTGCCGGCGAACTCCGCGTGCGCCCCGCTGCCCTGGTCCTTCCCTTCGCGGTGCCTGGCTCGGCGCTCCCTGCCAACCGCCCTATGCTGACGGGCTTTTCCTGCGCAGGTGCTGAGGAGCCCGGAAGAGATAGCAGCGCTGTACCGCGAGCTCAACCAGTGCCCCTCGCTCTGCAGTGCCTGCATCGGACCCGAGGTCACCACTCAGTATGGGGGCAAATACTGCAATGTCTATACAGGTACGGACTCCGCTGCGCCCTGCGCATTCCAGGGCCCCTCTGTCCCAGTATGGGGAGAACGGAGGGCTGGAGGCAGAGGGGCCCCAGGAGCAGAGGGCAGCTGCATTGTTCCTAGCTCTGGTTCGGCTTCGCCATGGGAGGCCCCCCAGGTCCCTCATCTCTGAGGTCAGGCACCAGGGAGGTGATGGACCCAGACTCCAGGCTGTCCGCTTGCCAAGTGTCAGTCTCAGAGGAAACCGCCCCAAGACCCTGCTTGGGGCACTTCATGTGTGTGAAGGGATTTGTGGCAGTTGGGTCCTTCAGATCAGCACACTGCCCCTTGGGCAGGTTCCCTGGGCTTGGGCTCAGCCTTCCCATCCCTGCAGCTGGCTCCAACAGAAGAAGCAGTGCATGATGGGATGCTCTGTTGTAGCAGAGAGCGCCATGTTGCCTGTCTGTTACCTGCAGCCCCCTCTCTTTCAGTCAGCAGAGACTCAGTAGAGACAGTACAACTCCCCCTCCACTTGTCACAGCACAACTGGCCTTCCCCAGTTAAGGGTTCCCTGGCCTTCCGTGTGGCTTCCCTGGCCTGGCCAGTCCTGCTTCCTGAGTCACTGCTCCTGGCTCTCCAGACTTCTATCTTCTCTCCACTCAGAGGCCTGTCTGAGCCATGGGAGGGAGAAGTGTGCCCTGCAACAGAAACTAGACTGCGGTCCCCACGTGCCAGCTGGGGAGCTGAGGCACAGACAGTGACAGCTGATTTTCAGAAGTGTCCCCCGTCCCAGCTGCAAAGCGCTAAGCACACTTGACCATCAAGCCATAAGAGACTGGGCCAGGATCACACAGAGATAGGGTTGAACCCAGATCTCCTGAGCCCTAAGCTGCTGCCTTAGTCTCAAGCCCAGCTTGCTTCCATGTAGCACAGAGAGTGGCAGGAGTGCAGGCAGGCAAGGTGCCCTGCTCTGCACACGAGCCATCCTGTCTGGTATCTTTGCTCTAAGGCCAAAGGAGAGGGGAGCGGTGCCAACCCAGTGCAGGCAGCAGCTGACTGCCCTCTCCTTCCAGAGTGGTCTCAGCAGGACCTGGAGAGAGCCGAGAATGTGAAGTTCTGCCGCCAGTACCTCATCTTCCATGACAGCCAGGCCATCGTGTACTCTGGCCCCTCGGGCACCTGCAGTGAGATCAAGGGAGAGTGAGTGTCTCCGCCCTGTGCCTTTGCCAGTGCCCACCGTGTGCCCATCGCCATCCCCACAGCTCTGCTAGAGCCTGGCCTGGCTTGCTGTCCAGTGTGGGCATGGCTGGGTGGGAGGTGGGGGCTGCCCTGCCATGGGATGTGGGCAGCTAGGGAAGAGCTTGGGCTGTGTTGCCTCCTGCTAGGGGGCTCCAGTAGGAGGGACAGAAACAAAGTGTGGCTCTGCACCTGGCAGAGGCCCCCTGCTCAGAGTGCGGAAGGTGGGATGTCCTGGGGGCCTTATGTCTAGCCCTGAATTGCCCCTAGCTCCCAGGCTGCTGGCTGGGGAGGCAGAGTCTTCCACAACACTGCTCTGCTCCCTCCCCTGCAGCTGCCCCTCCCCTGTGTCCTTGGGGGGGCTCCAGGCTGAGTTGCTTGCAAAAGGCCACTAGCAGAGTGCTGGGCTCTTGGCTGTACCTGCTCCTGCCCCCTGGAGGAGGTGTCTGGGCCACCTCGGGCCCCCTGTGCCCACTGCTTCTCCAGCTTTGTAACGGGTAGCCCCAGGTGCCAGGCCTGCTATCCCTGCCTTTTGCTGCGCCTGCTGGGAGCACCTCTCCATTGTGCTGTGTCCTGGTGTGTGTTTAGATGGGATATGGGAGCCAAAGCGTTCATATGACCCAGTCCCTGGCCAACAGTAAACTGTGTTAACCATGGCCTGGGCTTTAGGATCTGGAGACCTCAGCTTGCATAGTCTCAGGGCAAACAGCCCAGCAAACACCCTTTAACTTGTACTGAACATCCAGAAAGGAAGGGAAACCAGCTGAAGTCTTTGAAATGGAAAACATTGAGTCAGGCTTTCATTGTAACAACACCCTGTGTTCCCTTTCTCTTTGGCAGGAGGGGGCTCCCCGTGCCAGACAGTCTTGTAGACAAGGTTATAGCTGGCAAATAACTTCCTTTTGTTTGTTTTCAACCTGTTGCCTATTAATTTCATTTGGTAACCCCGAGTTCTTGTGTTATGAGAAGGAGAAAATAACACTTCCTTATTTACTTTCTTCACACCGGTCATGATTTTATAGATCACTATCATATCCCCCCCTTAGTCCTCTTTTTTCCAAGCTGGAAAGTCCCAATCTTATTAATCTCCTCATATGGCAGCCGTTCCATTCCCTAATCATTTTTGTTGCTCTTTTCTGAACCTTTTCCAATTCCAGTATATCCTTTTTGAGAACGAGCGACCACATCTGCACGCAGTATTCAAGATGTGGGCATACCATTGATTTATATAGAGGCAATATGATATTTTCTGTCTTCTTAATGATTCCCAAGATTCTGTTCGCTTTTTTGACTGCCGATGCACATTGAGTGGATGTTTTCAGAGAACTATCCACAGTGACTCCAAGATCTTTCTTGAGTGATAACAGCTAATTTAGATCCATCATTTTATATGTATAGTTGGGATTATGTTTTCCAATGTGCATTACTTTGCATTTATCAACATTGAATTTCATCTGTCCTTTTAACAATAAGGAGTCCGGTGACACCTTAAAGACTAACAGATTTATTTGGGCATAAGCTTTTGAGGGTAAAACACCCACTTCTCCAGATGCATGGAATGAAAATTGCAGATACAAGCATAAATATATATTGGCACATGAAGAGAAGGGAGTTAATCAGCCCTCATTCCCTAGTGCCCCTCTTCTACTTACGCTACTGTGACAGACCCAGACCAGTGGGGTACAGGAGTCTGGTAGAGGGCAAATATACTGGTCACTGGATGAGTAGTTTTCTGTTCCCTGAGTGACCAGAGCAGGGGCTGCACTAGAGTAATCAGGAACCTGCTAGAACCGGTTAAGGCAGGCAGGCTTATTAGGATACCTGGAGTCAATTAAGAAGAAGCTTCTAGAATCAATTAAGGCAGGCTAATCAGGGCACCTGGGTTTTAAAAAGGAGCTCACCCCAGTTTGTGGTGGGAGTGTGAGGAGCTGGGAGCAAGAGGCGCAAGGAGCTGAGAGGGTGTGCTGCTGGAGGACTGAGGAGCACAAGCGTTATCATTACAGGAGGCACTATAGACAGCTGCAGTCCACAGGGCCCTGGGCTGGAACCCGGAGTAGAGGGCGGGCCTGGGTTCCCCCCAAACCTCCCAATTGACCTGGACTGTGGGTTCTTCCAGCGGGGAAGGTCTCTGGGCTGTTCCCCAACCCACACGGTGAATCTCTGAGGCAAGAAAATCTGCCAATAAGCGCAAGACCCATCAAGATAGAGGAGGAACTTTGTCACGCTACATTGATGACATCTTCATCATATGGACCCACAGGAAGGAGTCCCTTGAAGAATTCCACCTGGATTTCAACAATTTCCACCCCACCATCAACCTCAGCCTGGAGCAGTGCACATAAGAGATCCGCTTCCTGGACACTAAAGTGAAAATAAGTGATAGTCACGTAAACACCACCCTATACTCAAGCATTCTTAAAACTACAATACCCACCTGGGGAAGTGAGGAAACAGATTGACAGAGCAAGACAGATACCCAGAAGTCACCTACTACAGGACAGGCCCAACAAGGAAAATAACAGAACACCACTGGCCATCATGTACAGCCCCTGGCTAAAACCTCTCTAGCGCATCATCAACGATCTACAACATATCCTGGAAAATGATCCCCCACTCTCACATGCCTTGGGAGGCAGGCCAATCCATACTTACTGCCAGCCCCCCCAACCTAAAGCAAATACTAACTAGCAACTACACACTACACCACAGAAACACTAACCCAGGAACCAATCCCTGTAAGAAACCCCGTTGCCTTCTCTGTCCCCATATCTACTCTAGCGACACCATCATAGGACCCAACCATACCAGCCACACCATCAGGGGCTCATTCACCTGCACATCTGCTAATGTGATATGTGCCAGCAATGCCCCTCTACCATGTACATTGGCCAAACCAAACAGTCTTCTATGTTAAAAGTATAAATGGACACAAATCAGACATCAGGAATGGTAACATACAAAAGCCAGTAGGAAAACACTTCAGTCTCTCTCAACATTCAATAACAGATTTAAAAGTAGCCATTCTTCAACAAAAAAACTTCAAAAACAGACTTCAAAGAGGAACTGCAGAGCTACAATTCATTTGCAAACTAAACGCCATTAATTTGGGCTTGAATGGGGACTGGGAGTGGCTGGCTCATTACAAAAGCAGTTTTCCCTCTCTTGGTATTGACACCTCCTCATCAGTTATTGGGAGTGGACCACATGCACCCTGACTGAATTGGTCTTCAACATTTGTTCTCCACTTGTAAGGTAACTCCCTTCTTTTCATGTGCCAATATATATTTATGCCTGTATCTGCAATTTTCACTCCATGCATCTGAAGAAGTGGGGTTTTTACCCACGAAAGCTTATGCCCAAATAAATCTGTTAGTCTTTAAGGTGCCACCGGACTCCTCATTGTTTTTCTAGAAACAGACTAACATGGTACCACTCTGGTACTATCTGCCATTTTGTTGCCCAGTCACCCAGTTCAGCGAGATCCTTTTGTAGCTCTTCACAGTCTGCCTGGGACTTAACTATCTTGAGTAGTTTTGTATCATCTGCAAATTTTGCCACCTCGCTCTTTGCCCCTTTCCCCAGATCATTTATGAATATGTTGAATAGCACTGGAGCCCGTACAGACTCATAGACTCATAGACTTCAAGGTCAGAAGGGACCATTATGATC